ATATAATGATTTGGGATAATTTTTTTACTCGATCATTCTTGGTGACGTATTGATTGTTTCATTTTTACCTATTATGCGTGAAAGTTGTCTATTATTTTAGTTATTCTATCGTCAGAAAGTGGACAGAGGCATAAACCTTACGATCCAAAATATTTAGAAATGAAAATTTTAGCATTCTTTATGGTAAAATAGTTGCTTTTATTCTAGCATTTTGGAAACTGCATTTTTTGCAAGTGTTGAGTGATAAGCATCATTTAAGATTTGAGCTTAATCTTGTCTTTCAGAATTTTTGGAAATTAAAAACATTAAGTTGATTTCTGATCTTATTGATCCAGGTGAAGTAACATCTGTCTATGTGAGAAACCTGCCTGCTAATGTTACTGAGGCTGAGATTGACCAGGAATTTAAGAATTTTGGTAGAATCAAGCCGGATGGAATATTCATTAGGGTCCGAAAGGTAGCTCCTCTTATTGCATTAAACTGAATGCTCATATTTCCATCCATGAAAATAGCAAAAAGCTAATGTAGAAGTTTATGCGTGCAGGAAATTGGTGTTTGCTATGCCTTTGTGGAATTCGAAGACATTATTGGTGTTCAAAATGCGCTTGAGGTTTGTATTTTTTAGAAAAGAAATTATATTGTTTTTTCTTTTTAGACCTAATATTTATTTGATTATCTAATTATTTGGTAACTTATTAAACAGATAAACACATTTTAGATCTCTGAATCTTATTGTTGTTGATCTGCTTTATGTGACTCTACTAGCTGTTACAGAAAAATCTATAATATCAAACTTTGTATTGCTTAAAGAAAGTGCTTCTGTTTGGTCCTATATTTCATTTGATTTATTGTCATCATGTGATGGTTTCATATGGCTATAAAGTTAATTAGATTAGTTTTGTTTAGTATTTCTAGATTTCGTGGTTCAATTCCATGGTTTATTTATTATGTTTAAGAAAAACCCTGATGTAGTGTGATTAGTAATGTGTAGTACAAATGATGTTGTCAAGTGCTAACATTTAATGCATTTTAAGTTTTTTTTTTGCCAAAATAAATAATAGGTAAATCGTTGCATTCTTGATTTTAGATATGTTGGATTATATGTGTTTGGTTTTTTGTCTATAAGAAAGCATGTTTGTGGAATAACACATGGCTTTTCTATGGGTTCATATGATGAGCATGTATCAGCCATTTTTTTCTGTTGCTTTTGAAATATTTTTTCTGGATTCAATCTTCTGGGTTCTAAAATAAGCATGATTTTTTTAAATGCAATTTACATCAGTTCTCAAGAAAATTGATGTAAAAATGTATACATTTTCTACGTCGCTCTATTCTACATCGGTTTTAAAATCGATGTAAATGACTTTAGAGAACCGATGTAGAATATGCATCTTGTAATAGTGTTTGTGTTGTGCTTTGTTATGATTTGTGTGTGTTGGCTGATCGTTAACATAAGAATGTTGGTGATGAAGCTTAGGATTCAGTTGAACGTGCTCTAATAGGATATGTGACATCGAGACATAGTTAAGACTAGTTTAGGATATTATTTTCATTGAATTGTTTTGAAAACCTCAATTTCTTTCCTTTGTAATTGTTGCATTGGAGATATTGTTTATGAGTTTATGAATGTGAATCCTCTATATAAGATATTTGAGATTTTGGTTTTATTTATGAAAGATTTTAATTATTCCTATTTATTGTGTAATTATGAATGTGGGGTAGAGGGTGTCACACTAAAGGAAACTCAACTATCCTCTTTAAAGGTCAACTTTTCAAAAAGGTTTTTTTTTTAACAAATTAGGCTCTTAAAGCACTACATCATAATATCTACACAATGAGATATGCAACTTTAAAAACCTCTCCTCTAGTCCTAGGTTGATCATCACAACTCAACAAAACCATGTCTAAAGCATTCTCAATATTCATCACCTCAACAATGCAACAACATCATGCATAGGGATGGCAATGGGGCCCCATAGGGGCGGGTAATAGTAAACCCACCCCCGCCCCACCGAATGAAAATTGGTCCCATATCCGAGCGGGTATCCATGAATTTCTTAAATACCCATGGATATCTATGAATATTTATAAATCTTTTAAGAAATTAAAAAAATTATATTATAAATAATTTTAAGTTTATATTTAATGTCATTAAAATATTAAAAATAAAAATTTATTGTTAATTTTGAAGTTGTATTTAACATTAATTTTGTTGAAATAATAATAAAAATAAAAGATAATTAATAACTTAAAATACATCAATCTCACAAGTAAGTTAAAGTTTCATCACAAAGCTACAATAATTCAATCTCATAATTTCAAACGAAAGTAAATAACTTAAAATACATAAATCTTATTGGTCCAATCAAAGCTAGAAAATTAATCAAATTACATCCAACATAATTCTATAACATGCTTAACACATGTTGGTAACTTCATCAACCTCACTTTTATAAGAAAATAAGATGAGAGAGTATAGTTTTAGGATTATGTGGTACAAGGATGATTAGAATATTTAAGAAATATTATTAAACGGGTACCTGCGGGTTTGGATATCATCACACCTGCCCCCGCCCCGTTTATAAACGGCTAAAAAATTATCCGTTCCCATTATCTGCGGGTACCTAATTAGCTAGCCTACCCATTTATTATCCGTAGCGGGTTTTACCCACAGATACTGCAGGTACGGGTATTTTTGTCATCCCTAATCATGCATAAAACATATTTTCCCCATCTCTACAATACAACATCATGTATATAGTGTATTCAACACAACTTCACAACCACACGACCTACAACTTAACTCAACTTTCAACTAACAACTTACAACATAATTATCAACATACAACGCATCAACTTTCAACATACATATTTCACTATATCTTACAACATCATCCATACAACTTATTTAGCCATAAAACAACTCAAACAAGTGTTGAACATTCAACTCATTCATCAAGTTAGCAACCAACTAATTAGAAAGAAATATTTTTTTTTACCAATTTTCCATGCTGAGCATTACGCTTCCAAAGAGTTATATACAAAATTTTCATTTTCTCACATTGAGCGTGAAACTCACGCTTAGCCTCAAACTTCTAAAGGACATTCAATCCTCACACTAAGTGTGAAAATCCATGCTTAGCCTCAGTCTTTTAGAGGCATATCCTAGTTCTCAAGCTAAGCGTAAAAACCCAAGCTTAGCCTCACAATTCTAGAAACTTCTACATATATGAAGAACAACCCAACAACTATACACACCACCAAATTTCAAAAATTATCTCTACTTATGCAATAATCTATGCATGCAACCTCAAAATCTTCCAATTATAATACACTACAATAAAAAGTTAAAATAGCCATCGAAATTAGCGATCAAACTTTTTTTTTTGTGGCTAACAGCGATGGAATTTGCCATCGAATTTGTTTTGGTTACTATTTTAATTTAGCAATAGAGTTTGCGATCGATAATGCTCGGTGGCAACTTTTCGGTAGCTAAATCGATTGCTATCCAATTTTTTCTCACTTTAAATTTTGTTTATCCTTTAGTGATCGATTTAGTGACCAAGATGTAGACCGATTATGATTCGGTCGTTAAAGTAGCGATCGAGTATAAATTTAGTTGCAAAACTCAATAAAATGTAATTTTTTTAAAAAAAAATTATTGACAATGCTTGTAGTCACCGAATTTGATTTGGTCGCTAAATGATAAATTTATAAAATAAAAAAAAACAAGGTATTTTTTTTAGAGAATAAGAGTATAAAATAAATATAGAACTTATTTTTAAAATAATAAAAAACAATTTTATAAGAACAAGAACTCATGCTCCTTATAGTAAAATTATTTATTTTTTAAACAATAAATAATATAAATTATATAATATTAAAATAGATAATAAATCATGTTTTATTAAAAAAATGAGAAAAATAATACTATAAAAGAAATTTAAGCAATAATTTTTTTTATTGAATCATTTAAAATTATGGAGCAATTTGAATAATAATTTATCCAACAAATTTATTATTTTTTCTCTTGATATCATAGGTGATTTTTTTTTCTTTTCATTACTATATAATTCCTTCTTGATTTTATAATCATTTTTTTTTGTTTCAAATATACAATTTATTGTCTTTCACAATCTAGTTAAGGTAATTAAGCTTGTTTTCATGAATCTTATTTTTTTTAATTATTATGTTAAAAAATAGATTTAATCATCTAGTTTTATTATTGGTCTAATGGTGTTTGCTCCTATTGATGGACACAGAAAATTGAAGTTACGGGAAATATATATATATATATATATATATATAATTATATATATATATGTATATATATATATATAATAACAACAACAATAAAAATTTATATTAATAATTTTTTTAAACTATTAAAATTTAATTAAAAAAGAGATGAAATATAGTAGATTAAAGAATTAGATAATTAAAAAAATTATTTATACGCATAAAGATTGAAGAAGAGAAATAATTTAAATAATTAATCATTCTTACAAAGATAAGACTAGAACTCAATACATTTAAGTTTGAAAACTAGATACTAAATACAACACCAATTGATTTATCAAACATTGATAATTTTTAAATATTTTTATTGAATAAAATATAAAGACATGAAGTGCCTCGACTCTATTCGTATATATAAAGATAATTTTATGTTTTTGTGTACACATTATGTTGACAATTTTAACCTTTTAAATAAATAATAAAGAAATTCAAAATTTAGTATTTATTTTTATATTTAATTTACTAAAATATTTAATTATGTATAATAAACAATTAGCTTGTAAAACATAAATGATAAAATACTAGCTAAATTTAAGAACCAAAATAAGAATGAAAAGTATATTATATGATAATTTATATTTATTTATATGAACATACATATATGTTAAAGATTGAGATAACCCATTGGAAAAAAATCTTAAAGTGAAACTCCTAAAACCCACCAAATTATGTTTTCGAGCCTATATCCGCGCCCTCTTCGAGCCCATGATGGAAACAATTGGAAAATCGTAAACCCTAACCATCTTTAACTCTTCGTGCGTTTCCCTGCTTGTCCGTGCATCTCTTCTCTGCGTGTTCACTGTGCGTCTCTTCTTTGTGTGTGTTCCCGAATCTTTGTGCATTTTCCAGCTTGTTTGTGCGTCTCTTCTCTGCGTGTTCACTATGCGCCTCTTCTCTGTGTGTTCACTGTGCGTCTCTTCTCTGTGTGTGTTTCGTTGTGCATCTCCCAGGTCACCATGTTTATTGTCTACCTTATTATGGCGTTGTGGTCGAACATTCATTCTTATTCTTACTGAAAGTCGTACGTACCTAAAGCCAAGTGATGCTCTTCTCACAATCTCGTAAGGTTCCTTTGGTTGGCTTCCTTGTCCAATCCTAGCTCTTTGGTTCGAGTTGTCTCTCAGGTTTGTTTCACTCACTGATTTTTGAAATGTGTTGTTTTCTAATTTAGGGCTTTTTGATGATTTAGGTTGTTTTCTAACGTGTTAATAAATCAAATTATTAACCTTTATAACTTGTATGCTTAAGTGGGTTTTCTATCTGGTGTACTTAAGAATGAAATGGAATGAGATGAAATTGAAACCAAATAATTTTGGGTTGCTTTTCCCTTTCTCTTTACCTTTTAATTTAGAAAAAGGTTGAAGCTAGAGTAGATGTTGTTAGTCCTAGTGAAATGGTGCATGGCTAGGTATAAGGAATACATGTAACTCTTCTTGTTGAAGGTTTTCAACATGTTTCTATAATGTCATATACAAAAATTGTAGTTTTTTTTATACTTTTCATTTCTTTCTAGTCCAACTTACAAGCAATCTTATCATCCATAATACCATAGTTATGAGCATCTTCTTACTGCCATGAGCCATCTCACTATTCTTTCGAATTGATACTTGTTAATGATTTTATCTATTGATAAAAAATTCTGTAAGAATATAAGTTATACTTAACAAAATGGATTGGTTAATGTTGTTAGATTCATCCACCTTCTTTTTGTGTCTAGTATATAATTTGGTCCTAAACAATTCCATTTATCTATTGCCAATAGGTATGCAAGTTCTTTTTATGGTCCATTTAGAGAGGCATTGGACTAAACTCAAATCTCCAATTAGGTGATAGGAAAACATATGTCATCTTGAAATTGAACTTACTATCATATTTGTAACCAATTTTTCATTACTAATTTTTGCTTTGCTTATAAATATATATATATGCTTGGCTGGAAAAAAATAGTTATTAGATGGACCCATTTAATTACAAGAGAGGCTTTGCCTGAGATGTAGGAAAATGAATATAAGGGAGGTGATATTATCTTTGGTGGTTCAGTTTTTTATGTGTGTGTATGATCTTTGATTATAAATTTATGCTCATTTTACATTTATACTATTTTTTTCCCAAAATTGCAAAAAAAAAATGAATTTGCAGGTTGAAAGCTGGTCTACATTATTTGGATATCCTACAGTTACTCAAGGATAGTTCTTTATTGCCAATTCCATCATACCAGGTTCTTTTCCTTGCCCATTCTAGCACTAGGCAAAAGTTTTTTGATAAAAAGTTGATCAACAATTCAATAAGTTTTAACTAGTAAATTCTACAACTAAGCTTTCTAAGTGATAGAAGTCCATGTATGTGTATAGTACATAGATATCACACTTCTAATTTAATAGTAGGCTTAGGAAAAATTTATGGTTGCTTGAATAGATTTTAATCTTAGGCTGGTGTGGTATTACATGGCATCAAATTCTAACCCAGATTTTTTTTAAATGATTAAAAAAATTGATTTTTTAACAATCATTATATCCATGCCCTTTAATTCTTTGGGTTTGGGAATATGAACTCCGTGTTCTATTAATTATATCATTGTTATGCTTTTTTTTTCTTCTTTTTTTTTCTTTTTTTATGAAACTTTATGTGCTAGACTATTTTACCAATTGTAATGTTATTGTAATTTCAACAAGAAGAATTCAATATAAGCTAGACCATTTATGATTTATTTACTTTTATTGCATATTCTTGTAAAGAGAAATATTTTCGATATTCTTATAGATCTACTATACATGATCTATAAAATTTTAATAAGAAGATCACTTTAAAAGATGATTTGTAAAACTTTATATTAAAATATGTAGTCTAAGGAATTTCAACAACCACCAACTACATGGGAGGTAGTGAAGAGAACAAAAAAATTGAAGATCGGAGCATGGGTTAATGACAAGACCCTAACCTTGTAGTAAGTTTTACTTTTCAACTTTCTAAATGTATTTTGAAGTTTATCATTATGTATTAATTGTAAAAGATGATATTTTGATTTATTTTGTAGGAAAGATATCATAAGCGTCGAGAGGAGGTCCTATAATGTGTCGTCGGGGAAGGAACATCCACACAAAAGTCCCCTTCTACCTCCGTCAATGACAATGAAATATATTTAGGTGTTATAGGAGGTGAGAATGACAAAGGGAATGTGTATGGACTTGGTACATTGAGCAAAAAGTTTAGTCGCTCAACATGTGCTCAATCTACTTTAACCTAAGCTCCAATAGTAGAGAAAATAGAAGAAATCCATGAGACAATTGAAAAATTGAATGTCGAGCTTATGGAAAAGGAAGTGAAGGAGAGGACACTTGAAGAAATAATGGATCAATTAATGCAAAATCACGAGTTGCAAAGTGAAGATGAGACAACAAAGTGAGCATATGCAATGACAAGATGAGAAAATGCAATTAATCTTACGAAACTTTCAAATTAACTCTTTCATGCCAGGGCCTAGTATACCATGCTGAAGATGTCCAGGATGATCATGTTGATGAGACACCGAAAGACTATTAATTGCATGTGTATTTGTCTTTTATGATATCATATACTTATTTTAGTTTTTTTATTAGTTATATGTAATATACTTTACTATGGATGTTTTTTATTGGTTGGTGTTTTGAAGATTATCATACATTGTATATGTTAATCACTTTTATTATGATTAATATTGTTACTACATATGCATTATCAGTTTTTAGTGTTATTAATTTTTTTACGATTATTAAGAAAGTTAAAAATGAAAATTAACATAAAAATAAATAAAATAGGGTTGGTCTTGGTACATCTTAGTCATACCAGGATGTATGCTAAGTCTACTCTTGTGGCCTTCCTCCAAAATTGCTTTCTTCAGCTCGGAATCATGAGGTAGGCAAATTCAGCCCTTAAACCTCAAAATTTTGTCTCCGCCTAGCTCAAAACCAACTACCTTGTCAGTACACAGTAAACCAAGAATTTTCACCAACTCTGGCTCCTGCAACTGCTTCAACCCAACTTGCCTCAAGAACTCACTAGTTATGGTAATCCAAAATTTTTAAGGAAAGAAAACAAGACAAGCAACAAAAGCACAATTTGAAAAGCTTATACCAAAGTGAAGAGTAATATGTGTATGACAAGACTCAAAGAAGTTCAACAAATAAAACTGAAAAATAAGACTCTAAAGAAAGCTAGCACTCAATTAGGAAGGTTCCTAGATAGGTACTAGAGTAGATTAACAACACAAAAAAAATTTGAAAGCAATTGGATAAGTACAAACCAAATAGTAGTCAAAACAATATTAAGGAATCAAGTGAATTTTGTAGTTGTACACCTCTCGGCTTTTTCTCTTTAAATTGCTTTATCTATATTTTTTTTTATTCTTTCTTTTTCTGAATTCAATTTAAGATTACAAAGAAAGTATTTGCTTTTTGTTTTCAATTTTTTCAAGATTCCAAGCTATAGAAACCGAGACTACAAAATTGGTCCAAATTCAAGTGAAAAATGATGAAACTAGTGCACTAGTTTTTAGGTTTTGTATTGGATTCTTCTTTTTCACTTTTCTTTTTTACTTTTGAAGCACTAGGCTCTGTATTTTACTCTGTTTTTCAGTCTTTTTACTTTTAAAATTTGAATCCACAAAATTTAGTGCACTAGAAGTAGGATTAAACACTTGAGATTTTGAGCAACACAATTTATTTCAAGAATTTTCAATAGAAAGTGATTTGAAAACTTAAGTACACAATGGAAACCTAACTCTAAAGAAATTTGCTAGAACTAATAGCAAATTATGAACTCAAAAAGGTAAAATAAAAGCACATATAGGTAGGCAAGAAAATTAAGCAAACCGAGACCACACAATATGACAAAGAACTCACAAAAACACTAGGTTAAACATGCTATTCAAGGAATTTTTAACATATAAGGACTAAACACAAACTCTAAGACAAAACAAAGATTAAAAACCAAAATCTAATGCAAATGCATGAGGTCCAATCACGGACACATACAAGAATGGAGAGACTCAAATAAAATCAAAAATAAGCACAAGCAAATAGGTCCTAATACATGTTGATTGTGGAAGAAATTCAAAACAATCAAGCAATGGATCTATGGAACACAAAGCACAAAACAATATAGATCTGAAAAGAAAAACTCAAGTAGACACAAGAATACACAAGATAACAAGACCACGGATACACAAAAAGATGAGGACACTTATCTCCTTGAAGACCTTGCTCTTGATACCAAAAATGATGGAGAAGGTGAGAGAAGTGATGGATGAACCTCTCCTTAGCTTCTCCTTAAGCTTGGATCTTCTTCAAAGGAGATTGGAAACGAAGTGATGAACCAAAGAAGGAGGAAGAAACACGGATGGAATGAGGCCAAGCCTTGGATGGAAGCATCCAAGCTTAAAGAGCAAAGGATTGCTCACTTTAAAGAGAAGGAACTAGGGAATTCCTAAGGTGTTTGAAGGCACTCTCTCTTGCTCTTTCTAGTTTGGTGACTCTTGAAGAATTGCTGAAGATTTGATTCAGAAATTCAAATGTATTCAAAAGTGTTTGTACAAGGCATGGGAAATACATTTATAGGTGAAAGACTAAGGCAAATTGGCGCCAATCCGAGTAAGCATAATTGGCGCCAAGTTTGAATTTCAAATTTGAATTTGAAATTCAAACTTTGGCCAATTATATGACTAATCCGGATGGTACCTTCATCCTAATGTCATTTGGAAGTTATTTGATGTGAATTTGGAGCTCACATGTCCGGATCCTCACCATGTAATCCATGTGACTCAAATTCAAATCAAATTACTTCTAAATGACATAGAAATGAACCCTAATGCACCTATTAATGTATACTTTGTATAAACCTAATCTAATGACCTAAATACATTGGTCAAAGGAATACAATGAATAGAAAAAATTACAAGAAGAAAAATGAGCCTAATATTGGGTATCAAAAGCCTAAAGCCCAAGAAGCCTAAATATAGGCCCAAAAGTAAAAACCCTAATCATTTAAAGCTCAACATGGTGTATTTAAAGCCCAAATACAAGACCAACATCAAAGTAACTTCCTATGCTAAGTAATTACAATAGAACATGGTGTCAATCTATTAAAGCCCAAGTGAGAAGCACCCTAGGCCCACCAAGCTCAAGGAACTTTGGAGGATCACACCAATTCAAAGAGTGCAAACATCATTTCAAGAATAACATTGGTTGTTCATTGTGAAAGGGTGGAGAATTGAAGACTTGGAGGCTTCCTTTTCTACTTATTTCTTACTTGTTAAATTTTCGGCCTCTTATGTTTTGGCCTTGGTTTCATTCATTTTTTGGTTTGTAATTGGCCATTTTAAACCACTTCATCTTGGTTTTAATTTCGTGTAGTTAGAAGCTGATTTGAAAACCTTCACCTAGAAATTCGACTAGCATATGCTTTAAGTGCTTTCCTTTGCATGCTTTAAAGCTTTTGTAGTATATTTGCCTAGGACATTACTTTGTCTATTTGTTTCGTTTAGAAGGCTTCAATTTTCCTACAAGGGGGTCATGCACACTCACATAACTTTTGTGCAAAAATTATTTTGTGAGAAAAGTGTGAAAAGGCTTAGTGATTTTTACTTGATAAGGCTTGGTTATTAAGTGATTCCTAGTAGTCCACCTCCCTTTGATAGTTCAATTTGTACACTTAGGCCTTTTTCATATCAATCTTGCATCTTTGAAAACCTTTTTGTGAAAACCTTTTTTATCACTCACTCTTTGTGAAAACCTTTTAACCAACCTCTTTGAAAATAAATTTGTGAAAACCTTTTTTCTTGATCAAAGATGAGTGATCACTCTAGTGTACATGGTCATACTTCCTATAGTAGTAGACTTAGTGTTAGGGATGAGATTAGGGAGTTGAAGGAGTACATAAGAAAAAAAGAAAAAAATATAAAAAGAGAGGAAGAATTAAGACAAAAAGAAAAAGAGTATGAAAAGAATAATGAGGAAATAAGAAATTTACTTGCAAAGTTGGTAGAAACTAGTGGATCCAAACCTAGGATTGTTCCAACTAGATCTCAAATAGGAAAAGAAGTTAGAGTCCCTAGGAGTATGCATGAGGAAGAAAATACAATAAGAGAGGTAGGACTTAGAAGAAAAGAAAAAGAAAAGAAAATAGAAAAAGAAAGAAAAAATAAAGAAAAGTATAGAGAAAGTTCAAGAGTGGTTAGAAAATGGAAAAAAACAAACAATACTCTCACTACAAGAAAAATTATTATTATCTACGGAATTATTATATACGGAATTTTTTTCGTAACTAATGTTTAGTTATCTACGGAATATTATCTACGAAATTTTTTTCATAGATAATTTTTAGTTATCTACGGTATATTACCTACGGAATTATTTCCGTAGATAATATTTAATTATCTACAGAAATTTCCGTAGATGTTATCTATGGGTTTTTTAGTAGATAAGTTATCTATAGATTTTTCCGTAGATAACTTCACCCATAGATAAATTTTGTAGGTAAAACATTTTATTTGAAACATCAGTTAACATATTTTATTATCTTTTCATTTTAATTTATTGTAAAATAATTAAAATTTTTAAATTAGCATCATTAAAAAAATAATCATTACAAGATTTATTTTTTTTTAATTTAATTAGTTATTATAATACTTTTAGTCACCGTATTGACCAAAAAATATATTTTTGATTAAAATATTTTTTAAAATTTTAGTTAATTCATCATAATATTTTAAAATAAATATTTTTAAAAATTGACATTAGATAAGTTATCAATGAAAATTTTCGTAGATAAGTTATCCACGGAAATTTTTGTAGATAAGTTATCTACGAATTTTTCCGTAGATAACTTATCTACGGAAAAATCCATAGATAACTTATCTACGGAAAAATTCATAGGTAACTTATCTACGGAAATTTTTGTAGATAACTTTACCCGTAGATAAATTCCGTAGGTAATACATTTTATTTGAAACATCAATTAACATTTTATTATCTTTTCATTTTAATTTATTGTAAAATAATTAGAATATTTAATTTAGCATCATTAAAAAAATAATCATTATAATATTTATTTTTTAAAATTTAATTATTTATTATAATACTTTTAGTCACTGTATTAACCAAAAAATATATTTTAGATTAAAATATATTTTAAAATTTTAATTATTTCAATATAATATTTTAAAATAAATATTATTAAAAATTATCATTAGATAAGTTATCTAGGGAAATTTCTGTAGATAAGTTATCTATGGAAATTTCCACAGATAACTTATCTATGGATTTTTCAGTAGATAATTTATCTACGGAAAACTCCGTAGATAACTTATCTACGGAAAACTCCATAGATAACTTATCTACGGAAAACTCCGTAGATAACTTATCTACGGAAATATCCGTAGGTAACTTATCTGCGGATTTTTTCGTAGATAAGTTATCTACGGAAATTTTCGTAGATAACTTCACCCGTAAATAAATTTCTTAGGTTACATTTTATTTGAAACATCAATTAACATATTTTATTATATTTTTATTTTAATTTATTATAAAATAATTAGAATATTTAATTTAGCATCATTAAAAAATAA